TTTAGACATGTCTTAAGACATCCCAAGACATGGTAATGGCTGGGTACGTAATGTTGCTATTTCTACGCTTAAAGAAAAGTTAAAAAGAAAAACTACATGGTGACAGTCTGTTAACAGCAATCAAACAGTTTCAAACACTCTACAGAGAACACACTTCTGCACTTTTTAATGTACAATTACTGTTTATTTGCTGAATTTAACATATTGGAAAAAGAAAACATGAAATTTGGCCTGTGCAAAAGTTATGGCAGAGTTTATATTTTTTGTTTGCATTTTTTCCAGTATGTTAAACTCAGCAAATAAAACAAATTGTACATTAAAATTGGCAGAAAAATGCCATATTCCAGTGTATTCCAATCCTCAGTTTTGCATATGACTGTAATTCCTAAATGTAAAAAGGTACAACTTTTAACTTTAGGTATAAATGATGAAATATTATCAGAATTATAGCCGACTGGATAAAGAAGTAAACAAAAAACACTTAAACTATTAAGTACTTTTGTATTGACCAGTGTTTACTGCATGTATCATTAGTTTGATTGAGGTGAATCTGGCTTTTTACATGAAGAATTAAAGTCAGATTAAAGGAAAGTTTAAACAAAAGTCTGTAGCTGATTGTAGTTTAAAGCTAAATAAAGCAGGACACTCAGTGAAAGGTAACCAGAATGTAACCAACAGCATCACAGAGCAGCTGTGAGTTCACTAACAGAGATCTACAGCAGCTGATTTGTTACTTCCACCACTGCTTTGATAAAGTCTCTGTGTTTTAAACAGGACAGTACAACCTGGATTTAGTCACTTACACAATCATCCAGAGCCCAAGAAGAGAAATGTAGCTTTACTAAAACATTTAAAGGAGAACAAAAACGTTTAACACTTTTAATATCTAGCCTGCACTCTAAACGAATCACTGTTCTTATGTTATTTTTCTTTTGGAAATGGCTAAAAAGCAGGATGTACGGTGAACCTGAAATTGTTCCACATGTTCCTCACATAATTGAATGCTGTCTTAATGTAGCTGGAAGAAAACTGGCAGAGCTGATATTTAATGGAGCTGAAATAATAAAAATTTTTTAGGAGGAATAAAAAAGGAATAAGTGATGTTCACCGAGGTCCACTTATAATATTTGTGTAGGATTATATACCAAAATAGTCATAAATCATTTTTCATCATCATTCAATGTATTTATTTAGGTTGAATAAAATTAGTTAATTTTCTTGTTACTATGTAAAATAATATTTTTAGGCTGAATTGGTGAGACATGTTTTACATGAGAGAGAGAGAGAGAGAGTTATTACAGCATGTACCAGTACAGCTCTTCATGAGTGCATCAGTGTTGTTATTCTTGTGTTCTGCAGTGCTGCACAGGGTCACTAACTAAGAGCACAAATACAATAACTACAGCTTCACTCAGCTTCCTTTACCACAAATACAAAATGTTACTTAACTTCACACAATAGAATAAGTTTTTCCTAAAAGGAATATTTCATATTTCATTTTATAACATTTCTGCATAATTAATTGGTTAAGATGTAAACAAAGTCATTGAGAGGAGATTAATGTGAAATGCACCATTCTAGAGAAACTTACTGAAACAGAATTGCTCACACAGTCAAAGTCAGCTGTCATTTCTTCTATCACAGATAAATATAATAAATACAGTCACACCATACAAACATTATAGAATACACTTTTCTGTACAATATACAGTAACTATACACTACAGCACCATGAAGCTCAGGAGAGCAGAGAAAAGAGACAAGCTGTTGGTCCACAGCAGCAATAGGGTGTGTATTTTTTATGTATTTTTATTTTTAGTTTTCCTCCAGATGGGATGGATGTAAACAGTCTGTGTGATGGATGAGAGAGATCCTTCCTAATGCTGCACACTTTTCTTTTATACTATTGGGTGTAGATGTCCTTAATGGCAGGGAAGCTTGATCAGTGTGATGAACTGGGCAGTCGCCACTTCCTGGCACTTTCTGTGAATAAAGAGTTTCGAGGCCTAAAATAAACTATTTTTTTTTCGTTGGTGTTTTTTGATAAAGTATTAATCAAACTAAGTGTTTAAAATTTAAAAGTGTACTACATGAAATGTTTAAAGGCTATGTTCATCAAAATATTACTGGATAACAGGGATGAGTCCTTAGATCAGAGTTAAAGTGAGTAACAGGGTTAAACACGGAGATCATATTCACCATTAAGACGAGATTCACGCAGTAAAAACATAAAAAGTGTGATCTTGACCCTGTTCCCACTTCAATGCTTAAGATAGTTTTTGATTATGTTCACAATGTTGTTTTAGCTATTGTAAATTGTTCTCTGTCAACAGGTGCTTTTCCAGACGCTTTTAAAACTGCCTTGGTGAAGCCTCTGCTAAAAAAAACAGTAGCATGGATCCTTCCACACTAAATAATTTTAGACCAATTTCAAACCTGCCTTTTTTTTAAGCAAAGTCTTAGAAAACGTTGTTTTCAAACAAATAAATGTGCATCAAATATCGAGAAGTTTCAGTCAGGTTTTGGTTATAACCGTACTGAGACAACATTGATTTGCGTTGTAAATGACCTCAGACTCAGCACTGATGCACAAAATCCTTAGTGCAGCTTTTGATACCGTCGACCGTGAGATTCTACTCCAACGTCTTGAATGCTGGGTCGGCCTCTCAGGCACAGTTTTAGAATGGTTTAAATCATATTTAGGTAATAGGCAGTTCATGGTTTCTGTGGATGTGTTCTTAGACTCTGGGCTCTGTTTTATCCCACTGTCACTAAAGTAGCTTTCTGTCATCTGAGAAATATTGCTAAAGCTTGGCCTTTTCTACCTCAGAGCGACACAAAGAAACTTGTTCATGCATTTGTTACAAGCAGACTTGATCACTGTAATGCTCTTCTTACTGGACTTCCTAAGAAAACAATACATTCTTTACAACTCATACAAAATATGTAAGCATCCTAACAAAAACAAAACAGAGAGATCACATCACAAGGGTTCTTTAGTAAAGACAAGGGTTCTGTCGAGAACCATGAGCACTTTCTTTGTATGCTGACATAGTTCTTCAGATTAATGGAGAATGTGCTGTAGAAGGTTCTATATAGAACCTTTTTATATATATGATTTTTCTAGAGCAAAAACAGCTTGTAGCCAAAATTTTACACCAACTGTTTTAATGAAAATACTGTTAGTAAACATGCACAGCGACTCTTTAGTGCCCATAATAACATCAAAGTATGGAACTGCTCTTTTGTCTTATTGCATCTGCAAGACAGACAGATAGAGAGACAGACAGATAAAGAGACAGACAGATAGCAAGATAGATAGATAGATAGATAGATAGATAGACAGATAGATAGATAACCTTTTTTTCCACAGATGAATCATAAATTTAAAGGTTTAATTAAGATTTCAGGAGTCATGTTTATTTATTACAAGTTTATTTTAAGAAGGGCAGTTCAAAGTGCTTTACATAAATAAAAGCAAAATAAAAACAGCACAATAAAATAAGGGGGAAATAAAAAAATAAAAGGAACTAAAAAGAAGTGCAAAGTCTAAACAGAAAGTGTGAAAGACACACAAAATAAAAAGAAGAGTTCAAAGATGGACAAATGAGGGGCAGATCAGAGATCTTCTGGCAGCTGTTTCCAGCTTCGAGCAGCAGGCGAGCTGGTTTACTGCAGCTAAACAGACGTTTATGTTTCATATTTTGGCCAAACCTGTTTCTGCTTTATGTTGAATACATTCTATTCAAAGAAATAGAGTTTTAAGAGAGTTTTAGAGTTTTAGTTTTGGTACGTTGTGTGATGATTGGCCACTTTGGGTCAGTTTTGGGCAGAATTCTGTTGGAGTGGGATCAATTTTAGACTGTAAACTTATGTGGTTCAGGTCACATTGAGCTTGGACAGAAGGTTCTTAGCCAAAATTCAGATCTGGACTAAAATTTCAGGCTGGATTTAAGGTTTAATTTGGATCCGTTAGTACACCCAGGTTTCTGACTTGGTCTTTAATCATTGGAGCTCTGAAGTGCTCACTGACCTTCAGTCTTTCCTCCTCATTGCCAAATAATATTACTCCTGTCTTTATTTAGCTGGAGGAAATGTTGACAGATCTTTTAATTCAATTCAAGATTTATTTCTAGAGCACTTTTTACGAGCGTCACAAAGCAGCTTTAGAGAAAATCCGGGTCCGAGCCCTAAATGAGCAAGCCGAGGGCGACAGTGGCAAGGAAAAACTCCCAACAGCAAGAGGAAGAAACCTTGAGAGGAACCAAGACTCAAATGGGGAACCTATCCTCCTTTGGTCGACTCCGGATTTGCACTGAGCACTGACACACAGTATCTGTGGGACCACAGTCATTTGGTGAGAGAGCGAAGTAAACCTGGGTGTCGTCAGGATAACTGTGATAAGTGATTTTGTTTTCTGGCAGGATTCAGCCTAACGAGAGCATGAAGAGAGGTGAAGAAGATGATGATGATTAGATAAACAAACTTAAAGAGGAATGAGGCAGCTCATTTCCTGAAGCAGGAGAACATCCTGGTGCAAATGGAAGGTCTCCAAGGTTTCTCCTTTTTTGAAGTCTCACTGTTGGCTCCACCTGCAGAGAGAAAATCTCACATTCAGTGTTTGCCTACCTAATAATTGAAATGGATATATTATTATCTATGAAATGTCTACTTTTAAAGTTACATTGCCATTTATTTCACCCCTTTTGCACGTTATTAAATCTAAACTATATATAAACTAGATTAACAATGCAAACTTACTCATATCAGCAGTGCGACGACTCTGCAAACGGTCCTGATCTGAAGTATGAGATCTGGCATTATTGTCCTTTTTGGATCTCTGTGATGTGAGACATTAATCATATTATCAACCTCGTAATCATTTAAGTCTTATCACAATTAAAATGTTAATACTAATAATGCATATAATATTATGCTACTAATATAATGCAATTAATATCACTGGGATAAAATAGCACAGTAAAACTACTCAAAAATTATTCTTTACCTTTTTGAAGATGTTGATTTTTGGCATCTTGAGATGGAAGTATAGGCTCTTGCGCAAAATATGTGCAAATTCCATCAATGACAGAATCGACGATTGCAAATGCCTTTACTGAGCATTCAGACGGAGTTGGTTTCACACTGGAATCTGTCTGGCTGGTGTGAGCACTCGTGAGCAAATGGAAAGAACTAACAAGGCAGCTCTCTGAAGACTTCAGTAGGATTTGACTCACTTCCTGAGCTGCCTTGTTTCGAGAGTCCTCACTCAACTAACTCCCTGATTGTGATGCACATCTTGGGAGGGTAAGTCAGATCTGTCACACTTTCCCTCTTGAGTTCTTTAGCTTCATTGATGGAGAAGATCTCTCGTATCACCTCTTTAGCACATTCCTGAAGTGAGTGATCTTCAAACGTCAGTTTCTTGGGTTTCTCGGTCCTCAGCTCAACAGGCAGTGACGAATGAAGGCGCTCGACTGACCTATGTTTGGATGCCAGGAGCTCAACCATTTCCATCACATTGCTAAGGAGCTCAACCATGTGAGAATCCTCCTTTTCATCAAGAGAGCCACCGATAGTCTTCACAAAGGCATTGACTACATCTTTGGTGACCGACTGCAAAGAATGACATGAAGATCCTGGTCTTGCAAAGAAAAGCGTCTGAGAGTCCATGTTCAGGACCTCTCCAAGCTTTGGAATGATGATTTTGTGCGATACGGTGGTCACAATCTTTACGATTCAATACTGACTCTTCTTTCTGTAAAAGACTTCTGCAAATTTACACACAAAATTTCAATATTTAAAGAAAATAAAGGCGAAAAGCTCTCCACACTAACTTACTGCATCTATTTCTTTAAGATCAAAAGCTTAACAAATTGCCATTTTGGGCTTGGCCAATTTTTTTGCCAAGGAGTGTAGATATTTTATTTTGTATGCATAGCAATGTTATTGATAGGTATATTTAATATTCGTATACTTGTACATACATTTGTATATTGTGTATGCATGATACTGTTTATGTAGAGTAAATTGAATTGAATTAAAATCCTGGCTGGACCACTCAGTCCTGCGTACATACCGATCAGTCAGGCTCTGCAAGAAACGGGAGACGTCCAGTGACAAAGCCGAGTCATCAGGCTCCAAGAGAGAACCTGCTGCTGTGTTAGGAAGTGCTTCCACCGCCATGTTAGACAGCCCTGAGATTTTAAAACATAAAAAACAAGAAATCAGGGAAAGAAATACAGGTAAACCTACCAGATTACACCATTACACATAGTTACCGACTTTATCCCACAGCAGCCTTTGTTTTGATAAGACACAAATGTTAATGTATTTTTGTCCTGCTGACAAAGTAGCATTCTCCACAAGTGGATGCCATTAGCAATGTGTGCGTTATACCAGTTTAGCAGTCACATCATTTTAAATGCATTACTGTCTAAAAAATCAAGCATAACTAAAACAAACTAGTAACAGATTATCAAAATTACAGCAGAAATCCTGTTTGCACAACAGACAATGTAGCATTTTCCACAAGGGATCGATATTAGCACAGTAGTTTTTATGTGCATCATTGAAAGGGGGGAAACCAACAACAACAAAGTTTGAGATTTTAAAACAAAAGTTTAAATCTGTGGATATTATTTTGGAAGATGTGTTAAAATTGAGTATTTGTACTCAATTACAAAAGTCCGGAGAAAAAAAATAAATTTTACTTCTTCCATTTTCGTTTAAACCTTCAAAGTACAAATCTAGTGGTAGCTTGTACAAGACCTTTTAAGTGAGTTTTGGCCTTGAGTTTTCACTTAAATATCTTTTTCCTGAAGTAAGCTGTATAAAATCTCTTCAGGAAAGTGTTGAAAGTGAAAAAATCCAGATTTGTAGCTGAAAATGTAAATTTAAATATACAGCTTTATATTTATCCATTAACCATTACTATTTGATTGGAGGTGAATGCTTTTTTTCTGTGTCAGCACTGACTGACACAAGCATCATAAAAGCTCGTTCTACACCCTCCGCAAAAGGTTCTACTGGGTTCCACTATAGATACACATCATCGAAATACATACAAACGGACATTTAGCAGCAAAAAGGTTCTGTGACTTGTAATAGTGGAACTCTGGTTATGGTTATTTAAGGAAACATACACATATAAGTTCACCACCATAGAGACTATACATGATAATAATAATAATAGGCCTAGTAACAACTAATAATAATAATTACAACAACAACAACAATAAAAATAATAATAATAATTACAACAAAAACAACAATAATAATAATAATACATTATGTAATATAGAAGACAATAATCAGCGTCATAAACTGCAACATAATTAGCACTGTACATATAAAAATAACCATTTTGTCAAATGCATTTTAGTGTTATCTATATTCTGCTTCTTTTACTATATTCTAGTTATATTCTAGTATATATATTACAGGGAGATTCACTCGAAAGAGGCCTATTCTGTAATAACTCTATCTAGGATGAATCAATCTGACCGAAACAATGTGGAATGAGCTCCTCAGTATATGGAGCTTTGAACAAGCCGGGATGCCCCTGCGTTGAAGTGATGAGGAAGGCGCCAGACAGCTGTTGTGACGTTTAACCTCCATTTGCAACTTCCGAATGCATACCCCTGTACCCCTTCATGTGTCTGGCAGAAAACGGAGATCACTTCCAGCATCACATGTAATGCAATCGATTACACATACGTCAAGGTATGTAGGGTTTTTTTTGGTTCAGATTGCTTCATCCTAACGGGAGTTACAACAGAATATTTGGGGCCTCTTTCGAGTGAATCTCCCTGTATAATATAATACTGGTTCTTCATCTCTATTCTGGTTCTTTATTTTTATTATAATTCTTTATCTATATTGTTTTTTTTTCTCTTTTTCATGATTAGGGTCCTGATTTGATTTTTCATTTTTGAATTATCTTCTATTCTTCCTTCTTTTTGTGGGAGTGGACAAGTTTAAACTGTAGTCACTTTTTATCTGATTGTGTACCAGAGAAGTTCCACGTTGTTCTACATAAGAACACTTTGGTTTCTACATAAATATCGCACATCCGAACATTACACGCTCAACTAACTGACTGAACACGAGGCCGGAAACTACAGCTATTTATGAGAAAGTCCCGCGTCTTCCTAACAGTATTCTATTGAAAAGTCCTAACTAACTCTCCTATAGCGCTTGTCTGCATAGGCTCATCATGTTAATCCTGTATATTTATCTTGTTTAATGGCGCCATCAGAAAACATTACTTATACCGTGCAGTTTTATATGGACAAAAAAACCCCTCTTTTCAATGAGTACAGGTAGTAATATGGTTCCTCATATTTTGTTTGTTAGACATAATACTGTTTTCTAAGGCCCATACATAATGTATTTTCCTCTGTATGATGTTCACACATCAGTTACTGTAAATCATTGATTAAAAATATCAAGCACACAAACTCCAAATATAAAGGATATTTATACTCATTCTCAGCTCTTTGCTACCATCTCTGAATTTCCACCAATCCCTTTGAATAAGCAGTATACTCTAAAACCCTAACATAAAAATCGGAGTGGAAGTTTATTGTGAGTGGTGTGCAAGGAGTCATCACATTACTGAGAGAGAGAGACAGACAGAGAGAGAGAGAGAGAGAGAGATACATAGATAAAGACGGAGAAAGAGAGAAGTTGGAAATGTAGCTATTTCAGCTAGAGATTTGTTAAAGGATTGGATTGGGTTCATTCCATTTTTCTCTCTAATATGTGATGCGGAATTTTCTGCTGACATCAACGAAATTCCAATACCTGGTACTGGATCAGTGCCATCTGTAAACTAGAAGTGTAGGCAGGCCACATGTGTTGACCAGCTTCAATGGGGCTTCCAGTACTCATTGTCATGGGCACAGGCAGTGGTCAGTCCACAGGCAGGCAGGCAGACAAGAAAAATCCATAATCTGAAAACAGCAGGGGCCAAATCACAGAAAAACGAAGAACTGTAAACACTGAGAAAGTTGAACATGAGAATTACAAGATTTTGCAAAAGACGAGACCAAAGCTAGAGGTATTTGTTATCTCGTAAATGAGTTTTTGATTCAGCTGCAGGTGTGTGGAATGTTGAGTAGGCGGAAAACAGGATGGTGCTGTTGCTGATGAGAGCCAATGCAGGAAGAGAGACTGTGATTCTGGCTGAGCTGGAGACTGGGGAGACCATCAGAGCAGGAGACTGGAAATCTGGCTGGGCAGCTGTGAAAATTGGGGCTCATCATCATCTGAGCTTCAGACACCACATTCCATTCTGTACTGTGGGGCAGAACAGTCCAAATTCCTTATAAGAATTGGGATGGATGTAGTGGAAGCCATGTGTCTATTCTCTCTGATAGCTTAAAAGGCTATGAAATGTGGCCAACAAAGGGGCTGCAGGAATGGACCACTTCTATCCATGCATGGAAATATCAGGTTAAAAAGATTGCACCGTGTACCTGTATATGAGGCTCAGGAGGATTCACCAGCAGTCAGTCGTAGGCTGGTCATTTTGTGTTCTGGATGAGACATACAAAGATCTGGTAAAGACTTGTGCGTAATTAGATCATGGATCAAATAAGTAAATACATAAAGAGACAGTGTAATGCCCACCCCTTTAATGCCAATTTTTTCATGGATTAGAATTTTAACAAGGCTGAATACTGCAGGTATTAAGAAATAGTTCTTATTCCTACTGGGATCCTGGTATTGCTCATTATTGTAAATCCAGTGGTAAAAAACACACCGATATTCTCTTTTAACAACAAGTTAAGGCATGTTATTTTTCTTCTGATGTTGACTTTCTTAATTCAATTACCAAATATTCTCTAGGTAATATGTGAATTTAGTATACCCTTATATGTATGATTGAATATATATAAACGTTCAGCCACAGTCAGAATGATGTATACATTTGGTGTGTCCGTTTGTGGCTAAGACAGGGGCTTCAGGAATTGTCCGCTTCTTCCCATGCATGGAAAAATGTAATTAAAATAATCAAACCTTCAACTTATACCAGAGTTTCATCCAGAGGAGACTTGGAGGCCATAAGAGAATGACACTGGGAGTGAGGCTGGCTGAGGAGACTGCGAGGCCTTGCCTTACTTCCTCACCTTACATTTTGCTTTTCCTTTTTTAACTGTCTCCTCTGCCTTTCCATCTTCACTATTCTCCTCTCTTCTCCTTTCTTCCGCCTCTTCAGACCGGATCTGTCACAGACAACATTACCTTGCTTTTAGCGTAGTATCTAACACAACAATACACCATACTAGCACAGGAGTTATACAGAGGTGTGCACCACCATCCCACACACCTCTGTGCTCTGGTTCGTTTTACAGGGAGAGCTGGTGCGAGTTCCTGTCTTCAAGATCAAACTCTCCAGTAACTGCACCCTATCCTCTCCTGTCTCACAGTCCTCCAAGTCTTTATGAAGCTGTGACAACCTGAAAAACACAAATAAAACCATAAAGAGTTATAAATTGTTAGATTTTCTCAAACTTGTAATATTATCACATAACAAGGATTCTCACGAAAGTTAAATCAAAACTGGGAATGCTTAAACTGTTCCTAAATATTATATAGAGCTGCAACGACTGATCAAAATCACTGATAACACTGATAATGAAAGACTGCAAGGAATCCAATTATCAATTAGTTAGATTAGACTGAAAGTGTTTCCACTTCTCATTTACATCACTTAATTCAAAGGGAAAATGTAGATGGTAGACACTACAGTACAAGGCTGTGCACGACAGGAAAAGAAAAATATGGCAACACCACTTTAAGGTCATCTAAAAAGAGGGTTCTCTATCTGATGTTCTATCTGATGATCTTACCCAGCATGGCAGAATGACTCATTGATTATGACGAAAGCCACCACCCCTTGTAAAACCTGCCATCCCTCTTTCTATTTGATGTTGCACTAACATTATTATGTGATATCCAAGAAAGTGTCTACTATACATACTTTAATTCCATCCATATTAGAAATTTACTTGCCAAGCTCCCTTGGATGTAGGTGGACAACCCCCACTTCCACCAAGTGGTTAGAAATTGTATATAGAATATCACAGATGATGACCAAACTGTTTCTGTGTGGTTAGCAATATCAGATTTCATTATATATTGTTACCAACCACCCAGAACTATTTCATTTATTTTTGCTTCATCATTAGAGGATAAATCATTTGAATAGCAATGCAAAGTTCTTGTAAAATCAACCTGCCTGCATAATGATTGTACTGCCATTTAAGACTTGTTTATGTGTTGTTCCATTACTCTTTCTGCCCCATTCACACTGAGTAAAGCAGTGTTTTGGAGGGAAATGCAGATCTGTTGCTGCGCCCTTGATAAAAGTCCTTTTGGTTTTTTTTAAATACGATTTAAACTATATGGTAAGACATAATCCTTGTATTTTTAATTTGTAAAACATTGTGTATAATATTGTGAAATATTAATTTATTGGGAGGCTAATAATTGCATTTTTTATTTCTTTCAATGAGTGACTGACTAAAGAAAGTCATAATGAGCTGATTAGTTTATAAAAACAGATGTCGGTTGCAGCTCTACTCTTATGTGGTATGAATTACTGCACAGAATCACTATATAATTTGCCCTGGTCTAGACCAAGTTCATTGTGTGGCTTCTTCATGCTAGTCTCAGCTTAGGCCTTAATGAAGCTCGACACTGACCTGCCTCTCCTCTCCATGCAGTTCATTATGCCAGCTGATATTCTGCATTTATTGTCTCTCTGTGCGTCTCGCTGTATCAGAGATGACATGATGTTGACCGAGGATGGTCTGCAAGGGGTCGTCACATTGCTGACAGAGAGAGAGAGAAATATGTCAATTTGTTGAAAATATCAGACAAACATTAAATAAATGATGAATTATAGTGTTACTATTATTTACTGATAGTGACAGATCTTTGAATGTTTCATTAATAATATAAGACACAAGAGGCTGTATGTAACAGTGATTTTGCACTGAAAAACAGCAACTAAATACAATATAATAAAATATACGTATGTCATTACTGTGAATAATAATTGCAGTACAAAATTCTTCTGCTAAGCAATGTAGTTTGTTAACTGCAGGTTATGGATGCCAAACAAGATAATGTTTAAAGAATAATGATACAGAACTCAAGTGAAATGTGTGGTCATATGTGTGGCTCGTCCAATTGGATTTTAGAACTGAAAAATCTCTTTAGTAATTTCTATAATATAAATGCTTATACAAATATTATTTTAGTCATTGTTTTAAAGAATGTCTATATAGCTCACTAGTGTGGATCTCTTCTGTCCTCAGGAGGTGGGCAGCGGAGAAAGAGGGACTCCTCCACCAGATTCTTCATCTTTCTTCCAGGATGTTTCATCTGTAGTGAGAGAAAAACAATGTGCTCACTATCAAGATCTTCTTTTACTATAAGCAACAACATGACCACCACACTTCTATAGATATCAGTACAATCTGCATCTGTTCTGAACACCAACCTGGTGAGAGTACCCATAGCCAAAGGACCCGTATGTAAAAGTCAGGTCTGCATCCAACTTGCACACTTTCTGAAATTATAAGAAATCAATCTTACATCTCTTTTCTTTCACATAAACAGAAAAAATTCATGTAATATTTCAAAAGCATGACTTACTTTGTTTCCAAGCCTCAAATCAATCTGCTGGCTAACCGATGATTTCTGCTGGAAAAAAAAGAATCATTATGTTAGTCATTATTGGTAATTAGAGACACTGAGTGGCTTAAAAGAAAACTTTCTACAGATGTGTGAATGAGGGTGTGTCTCACAAAAAGGACTTCCTGCAGCTTGATGGTGGTGCTGCCCATGAGTTTGGGGGCAGCTGAATCACCACCAAAAGAGATTAAATCCACCTTCACTGAGCTGGACTCCTGGACCCCTAGAGCCCCTTCTTTTTGGATCTGCAAACACAGTCAGGAAAGCCCAGAAGGATTTCAATTATTTTGGCAAAGCAGTTCTTCTCATCTGTGCAGTTTCTAATCATGTGAGCAGCCACTTACTCTGTTTGGATAATAATGCAACTTGAAACAAACGATTATCTTTTGCACAATTATTGTGGTAAATAATATTATTGTGCTAAATTAAAATAAGAAGTATGACATGTGAGCATTGCAGTGCTTTACCCTATAGCTTGCATTTTGTGAATCATTTCTTTGTACAGCTATAACGTTTGGTTTAGAATCATAGTGTATTGTCTTTATTTGTTGTTGCTGCTAGCTGTGTAGCCTTTAAATGACTAATTAGTAAAATAGAAGAGTAAAGTAATGAAGTTGTATCAGCAGTCCTGTGTAACAGAAGGAGTAGTTTGCTAATAAAATGTTATGATTTTAAAATATTAAGCATTTCAAAGTATCTTAAAGCTATATTGCATATTTACAGGTTTGAAAAGGCAGTTGCTTCAGATTGCATTGATTTGTGACTTCTGCCGCTGAAGTGAACACCTAAATTCACTCTATCCCTCACCCCTTCAAGCGCCCATCCAATAAAATTTGTTTGTGTAAATACAGTAATGATACGACCCTTAAGATGGCATTGAGAATGATTAATATCATTTGAGTGATATACAAATTTAATAAAATCTTTAATTGTAACTTTACTTATTTATCTGTTGTACACAAGAAGAAGACACTAATAAGTAATATTAACCTGTATGGAGAAGTGTTTCACTTCATTGAAGGTCAGGTTGTCTTCGAAGGGCTGCAGTCTGGAGCACTTCACCATTCTCCCAACAGTGATCCTCACCATACACTGAGTGTCTTTCTGTATACGTGCTGGTGCAGGGGTCAGGAAAACAGCCAAACCAGAACCAGCACAATTGATCCATGCAGACAAAATCAACCGATTATAGTTTCATGGCTAGATATCAACACAAACCCACAGACTACACATATAACAGTGAGACTGGAATAAACTCTAAGGATACTGTTTTTCCTGAAGTCTCTGCAGCTTCTTATGCGTATAGTCAGGACCCCAGTCTGTGGAAGGAAAAAAACATAAAAACATCCATTCGCATCATTCCCTAAGATATTCACGATTAAGATGACTTTACACTTGATAGCATCCCACCATGCGGACAGTGAGAGAGCCAAGGTGTAAAATGCTGAAATAAAGAGACGTTTCAAAATATTTTAATCTACTTGTTATGCTTATAAAATTAAAAAGACAAACCGGAGCTCCGAGTGGCACCAATGGACGAGATGGGGACTTGTCCTTAAGCTCCTCTTTCTCATCTTGAACAGGCTGAATTGAGAATTTTTTCCGGAACTGCAGTGCAGAATCAAAAAAAGGTAAGCAAACAAAAATATACAGAGTTTCAGTAAATAAAATGCTCAATTAATTTTTGAATCTGTACAACAACAAATTTTAATGGTGAGACAATTCATTCAACTCCTTGAATGAAATACTGTTTATTGTTTTATAAAAGGAGCAGATTTCAATGGCAGCTTTCCATGAAAAATATCATGTAAATGCATCTTTTTGCACAGTGAGGGAGGAAGCAATTACCTCTATGAAGGACTGAACTCCAGAGTGAATACTGGACAGAACACTGGACAGCACTCTCTGCACCACATTTTTCCTAGACGTGCTGGGTGCTGCAGGCTCCATCTGAGAGATTCAAACATGGTTTTGTTTACATATTATATAATCAAGCCACGTTACCAACAGAGTTATTCAACACAACAAAACAGAATGTGTGAGTTCTAGACCTCTGTGCATCTAAACAACCATCCAGACATCAGCTGCTGAGAAATATGACTTTGTCTTGGTTTCAACATATTGGCTAAAAATGATGATATAATGGCACTTAGTAGACTCATAAAAATTAATAGTAGTTACCGAATAATAAGCACAAGGTTCAAATGGATTAACCTCTTAAATGGCCAGGGTCCAAAGCTTTATTACACACTGTTACATCGTAAGCATAGCTCAGCCAGTTTGCATTGAAGCCCAGAAGTTACTGAAAAAAGGCTTTAGAATGTAATAAGCCTGGGATTTTAAAGGGTTAAGTAAGTTGAAGGCACTGGGCCTCATTCACCACTATCTTCTTATGTTTTTTTCTTTCATTTTTTCTTGAGAAAGGTCCTAAGAAAAAGTCTGTCAGGTTCATGATGTGTTCTTAAAGACTGTTCACACCTTTGCTCTTGAGTGTGCATAGATTCTGTTCTTACCTAAAAAAATCCCAAATAAGAACAGATGGCTGAATGTCAGAATCTACATGAATACTGCGTGGGTGAGTTTTAGAAAGAAATTTCTTTTTAAGAACGGTTGGTGAATGAGGCTCGCTGTTTTTAACCCCGACCACTCCTCACCCCTGTATTCTTTTTCTACAGGCCCATTTAGAAGGTGGGCTTGAGTCTCACCTGTAGGTTCTCTATCTCGATCACAACTTCTTTTCTGCTTTCTGTTGCCTCCTGACTCTCTCTCCTCTCTTTCAGCTGTTCCTCCTCTCTCTGCTTCTCCATTTCCTCAAGCAGCTCTTCTTCACTCTTCTTCTCCTTTACGACTTCCTGCCTCTCACTGACTGTAGCAATCTTCCTATCATCCTGCTTTTCTTTCTTTTCTTCCATTTCTCTTTCTGTCTTGGCTACAGTAATGATTATTTCTTTACAGATGACCTCCCTTTGTCCTGTCCTCTTTTCCTCCCTCTGTTTTTCTTCCTGTATCATTCTTTCCTTCATTGCTTCCATCTCTTTCTTCCATTCCTGCTTTGTCTGTCTGGTTTTTGAAGTCTCCATCTCTACTCCTGCTATTTTCTTCTTCAGGGTCTTCAGCTCTCTTTTCAGCTCTTTCTTTCTCTCTCTGAATCCCTGAATCTCCTCCTCGAGCAGTCTCACTGCCTCTTCCAGATCCCTGATCTCCTTATCCTTCTCCTGCTCCATATTCTGAGATTAATTATGAAATTATTTTGAGAAATTTTAGGAGATAAGGTCACAGACTACACAGTAACTTAAATAGCAGTATGCAATGAAGAAATTCTCACTTTATAATTAGTGTGAGTTCCACTGCTAAGATAATGTTCAAGTCTGTCAACGCTTCAATGTTATGTTAGCACCAAACTAGCGGTGGTTGACATTCACTTCTCAAAGTAGAGTTCAACACTACTTTAGCCAGTCCTACATAAACGCAGGCATTTGAAGCAAGCTTGCGACAGACAATGCAGTATCATATTCTTTACTTTTGTAGGTTTTATAGTGAATTCTTCAGTAAATGCTAACTCTCAGTATTACTGGAATGGCCAGTTAGCCTATTAGCAGCAAATCACTTCATATTCTTGAAATCTATAACTAACAGTTACAAACATACATGCATTAGTGCAATCCTGCTGTTGTGAACATTTTCAGTGAGACTTAAAACAGCGCTTCGAATGCTAATAGCGCCCCCTTGTGGAGAATCTGCTAAACACAGCTTTATAATGACCTGCGAATACCCAGTATATCATTTCATGATGAACTAATCACTAGGCTGAATTACCTTCCTCTGCCTCTCCTTCTTTCTCTTCTGGGTGGTTTCCTTCTTAGTCAGCTCCGTTTCTCTCCTCTCTGTCTGAAGCTGCTCCTCCTCTTTCTGCCTCTCCTGCTTCCTGCCCTTTTTGCGAAACAGGAACATTTTAGGGATGCAGTTGCACCCGCAGGCTGGGGGACTGGGTGGGGGGCTCAGCTCTCGCTCCTGCTTCATCTCCTGTGGAGCTGTTGACTTTACAAAACAAAATGGCTGGATTCATTCAAGTGTGCTCCTTCAGAGTCTGATAAATAACTTCTGTGGATTATTAATGTTATACCTGCTTTGTCTTTCGGTGTTTTCTGCTTCTCTTCATGACTTTTCTCTCTTCTTTTCTTTTCTCATTCAATCACTGATTTGGAGAATCATAAATAAGTAAAACTCTTCAGTGTCATACATAACAATTTACAGTTTTTTTGTCTGAAAATGCAACAAATGTTTCATTATCGGACAGTTGAATGAGAAATAATTTACTCTCCCAATGAAGCATAAGGCTAATTTTAAACATATCTACATACATCATCTGAAAAGCTTAGACAAAGAAACTCATCAATATTTTCAGATTATTAACTTTGCTTAATGTATATTTATTGTTTTCTTCCTTCTCAGCAGTATTTCAAAAGTCTCTCATAATTTATAGCTCATTATTTCGCAACAATATATGACCATTATGGAAAAATAAGTAATTATTTGGAGATAGATCAATATTTTAAGAATATGTTATTATTTTGAGACATTATGTTAATTTCTCGAAAAAATAAGTGATTATAAAATACTACGTTAAAATTTTCAAAACCTAAGTCAATATTTTGACAAACTGCAGTTAGTAAAACCTTAATAATGAAGAATTCACAAAATTGCAGTTTCAGCATCGCGTTCCTTTAGATACTAAATTAACTCCGTAATTATCGTCTATCGACTCTTAATCCCACGTAAAACAAACATTACTCTTTTAAAATCCAGTGGGCTTTGTTCACAAACAGTTAGTGAACTTCGGACTTTTTTGTGTGAATAAAGCTGCATAAAAAGACTCAGACGGACCTGTTTGTGCTGTTATTGTTGTAACGACGCGTTTCTGAAAAGAAAAACACTTTTTCTGGAAGTGTCAGCTGGTAGCTCCGAGTATGACTGCACAATGGAGCGGTTCCGTGACGTCATCTCTCAGTCATGTGACTTTTTTGACGCTGCTTCTCAGTGTTGGCAGGGTTCCAAACGGGCCGGGATTTGGTTTTATTGGGAAAAAGTGCCTCGGCGAGTGGACAACAATGTTTTTGTAAAACGAATAAACTGCGAACTCCCCTCATCCAATCAGTTATCAAAAGACTGGCTGAGCTTTGTTCACTCCTGTTGAGAGGAGGCCGCTGACACGACCATCAGGGTCGTTCAGTTTCCAAGGGCATGGCGGAGATTATTCGGTTCACTTGGCATTAATAACTGCTCATATTTCTGATACAGTGTAAAGTTGGAATGAGGTGTGATCTGATCTGATTCCCTCGTTTCTATCAATATTATTGTTAGTTATTAGCATGGGATCATCCTATCATATACAACACATTCAAACTAAACAACGTTAATAGACTGAAAACATTGATGGGTTTTATTTTATCGAAATGAGTTTCTTTGTCCAAGCGTTTTTCTGATCGTGTTTGAGACTCTAAATGACACAAAAGCGTTTGGTTCTTTGTACCAGTACCAATAAACACAAAAGAGTGACAGCGCCATCATCGTTTATTTAATGAGACCACAGGAACCCAAACTGGCTTAAAATGAAAGTGTTTACACAGGACAGACTCCTTCATAGGCGGGTTCACTGCCTCTGCCCTCACTAAAAATAAAAAAATAATGTGAAAACTACAGCTGGAGACTTCTTTACTACTATAATAATTATATCGCAGATATGAACTTCTTGTTTTTTTTCACTGTATTAATGATTGTTTGTATTTTTTTTATTCTGAAGTTTTCCAAGCATAATTTTTCTCACGTCTTTTTGTCTCTAAATTCCTTTGATTAAAAACCTTTATGTGGACATTGACTTTGACGTTGTGACAGTCTGTTGAGCCTCTTTTAGTAAAAATGCAGCTTTTTCTGAACTTTTCCTAAATGTTTGTGTGTTGTCAGTTTTACAGCGACATCCTTTCTATATCTAATGCTTCAAGTTTAAAATATGTCCGCAGAAAACGATAGCGCACTGCTAATGAACTAAAGACTGGTCTGAGGTAATGAAAGAAGTTCTGGTCAAATTACTGATTAAAATGACAAAAGAACATGATTTTTTGCTCCGTTGCAGAAGTGCTGGAGAACTGCACACAACAGCACTGTCCACCTCAGACATTTAGCTCAGAACGGCCACAAGAGGGCAGCACAGTTCAGCATTAAACAACCCAGTCTCACAGAAAAATGTTCACATACAACTTAACTGCAGCACCTGATACACGTTGCTGATCAACTGTACTTTAAATCCACTCCAACTGTAATATACAAGAGAAAAACACTTTTCTCAGGGCTCTGGTTAAAGATGTTTCCCCTGTATTCTCAGTGTGAAGGTGGTATAATATGACAGTTACTGAGTGAAGAGATCATGCACAGAAAGCGATTATCAGCATCATTATTGTACTTTAAATACACTCCAATTGTATCTTTCCAAGGGAAACCACTTTCCAAGGCTGCCAGTAAAACTTCTTCCCTGCTGTATTATTATTAAACGGAAAGGATAAAACTTGTTGTATTCAAAGGTAAAACAGAGGCTCACGATCACTATTGTTGCATTTTAATTCAATTTCAGTTTTGGTATATTGTAATATATTGGGAGAAACCTTTTTCCATCAGTACCAACTGTTCCCTCTGTGTTTAAACAACTGTGTTGATGAAAACTATAAAGAAAAGACACATCACTACCATAAGATTTAAGACTTGAGCTTCAACAGACTGTAAGGGAAACAATTTCTTAGATCCACTTAGATAAGTAGTCCTTAAAATAATAACAGACTAATTACTGTGCTGTGTAATTCAGTTTATTTATTTCAGCAATAAAAATAAAAACTGACGAGGCTAAGGGACATACAATACACCTCAAAAAATCACTTAAGTCTCAACAACAGAATGTGTCTATATTTATATGTGTGTATATATATATATATATATTGAGAAATGGCGTGCAGACTGCAGGTCACATAGCAGCAAAGTCTCATCTCGCTAGTAGCGAACGAAAAGGCAAAGAGAGAGATTTAGCTAAGACAAACATTTGGAGACGAGTGGACTTTTCGCATTTATAAGCGGCGCAGTTTCCTGGAACGTTAAATCTGCAAGGAGAGACTGTCAAACACTAAAAAGTTGCGAAGATGAAGTCGCTTCTCTTTCGAATTTCCCCGTTCCACCTTAAATGGTGCAGCAGCTACATTCGGTGCCTCAGGCAGAATTTAAGGTGGAACGGGAAAATTAGAAAAAGAAGCTGGAGAATGAGAAGCGACTTCAGCCTCATAAAACAACCGAAGACTGAGAGGCATTTTACAATAAGCTGCTCTACTTCTGAGGAAAAGTTTCCTGATGGAAAGGGGAGGAAAGCGGCTGTAGCTGAGCTAAAGCTTGAAACAGAGCGAAGTAAATCTGCGCTCTCGTTTATATTTTAGCCTATACTAGGACATCAGCACACCCTGAGACATACTATACATTAAATGTTGTGGGTCCCAAGCTGGTTTGATTTTTGCTTAAAGGACAAAATGGCTCTTATTATCATTTGGGTTGTGACTCCTGATCTAACCTGGCTTTAATGCAGAGTGTGTATTTCTCACTCAGTTGTGTTTTTGTTATGTGCCGCTACAGACTGTCCGGGCGCTGCCCTTACCCACTTCCAAGTTCCGCATTTTACATTCCGTCAACATTACGGAATAAATAAAATATTTAGAAAATCGATTTTTGACATTTATGAATCGATTCAGAATCGTTCACGTCCGCATCGCGATGCATCTAAGAATCGAGTTTTTCCCGCACCCCTAATATATATATATGTGTGTGTGTATATACGGTAATAAAATTAGAAATGGCTCATTAAATCTGTTACTCAGAGTAGTTGAAAGCAGAGCAAGAGCTAGCATTAGCAAGTTCACTCGCCTTGAGTTTGAGCATTAAAACCTCTGCCAAACCATTTTACATGAAAATTGTGAAACGTGAAAATTCTGAAACGTGAAAATTCGCTCCCTGAGAAATAGAGTAAAATAACGGTACAAACACGAACGAATTAATCCTATCTAAGCCCCGCAGAGGCTGAAGACGTCATGGTTTTGACTTGTGCAATGAGGGGAAACGGGGAACTGAATTTACCCTAACAGGTCCGAACATCTGTTTAGCTGAGCTGCGTATGAAGCCGTTGTAGAATAAACGATATGCCCACACCTGTTGCAGCCTCACAGTAACTGAACTCTGTATTAGCGCGTCACGTCATGAAAAATCCTTGTGCTGTTAATGGAATAATCTTTGAATCTAATGCTGCTCTCATGGACCACCAAGTATATTGATTAAGTAAGAACCCATCTTTTGTTTAAACTGATGGGTTTACAACTTATTTTCTTGACTAGAACTAAGCTGGTCAGTTAGCTAACAGGCTAAAAGATAGTGGACAGGCTCAACAACTCCATCATTAATATCACAGGCTTGAATTAAAGTACTTACGATATAATTCACTGTAAAACAGCAGTATAAAAGTCTAAAGAATGTCACTTGAATGGATTACACACTTTAAATGTCTGTGTTCGTCAGTACTCCCTAAATAGTGTTCTAGCTATGGAAGTTTAGAAATTCTAGCCTCTACAGCCAAGGAGGGCAATATTTGGTGGTGCTCCAAGTGGTGTTCATCGCCATTTTGTTAAAGCCATTTGAATTTGCATGATGAACATGCATTCATTATAAATGACCACTGGGTCCCTAAGACCCTTCTAGCATAGAGACAAGTTCAGTGACTATGATTCTTTCAGCAGAGTTGATTAATTTTAAACATTACTGCCTCCATACAAGGTCAAATCCATCCCATACAAGCACCATAAAGTGTAGTCATAGAGGCAACCTGCACATAAAACACAAAAAACACCCAATGAAGCGTTGTGAAGTGCGAGGAGTAAAGAAAATTGTGTATAAAAACAAAGTGGAAGTTAGATCGAAATAAAAGAAAATAGGGCAAATTAATTCTTTTATTAATTAAGTCTTTAATAAAGTATTATGTAAAAATACATGCTCCTAAGTGAAGTAAAACTACAATATGATTCCTCGGCAGATATGTAAGTAAAAGTTTATTTACTACTTCCATTTAATACTACTACAGTATTGTAAGTGTTTAGACAGTGGGCATTAGTTGGCATTAGTAATCAGTTGGCTGATGCATAGAAAGGCTCCCCGCATTGTCGCGCAGCCCCTATGGCCTCGATACGCTCTCTCAAAGCTGCCTCCCAGTTCTCCCCCCGTCCCAAATCTTTACAGCGAGCTTCCTTCGTCTCCAACACTCTAACTGCTTCTGGAAGGTCAATGGTCAGGCCTGCTTTTTCAACCGCCTCCTGAAACTTGGCTGGAGAAGCTGTTGCAATGCAACACCTGGGTAATGGACATCAATAGTTTTTAACAGATAGTATGAGACCCAACCTGAGATGCATATGGATCTTTACTACTACTAATATTAGCACTATTACAGTACTGTGCAAAACCCAGAGACCAACCTTTATTTGATTTCCAGTCAAAACAGCCAAAGTTTTCATTTTCAGGAGATATTTCTGAGGAGATTAGATATAAGGAAGGGAAAAGTCAAAAGAAAATATGTGGAAAAAAATCTGAAAAAAATTCACAGGTGGTTCTGTCCATCCATCCACTGTGAAAAGTCAACTCAGCACTATAAGTCAGAAAGGATGTGTAGCTGACAATAAACCATTACTGAGAAAATGAAGTTTTTTCCTGACACAAAAACATTAATAACTCAATGGCCGTTTTGGAAATTAAATACACAAGGGTGGTCTCTGACTTTTGCACATTATTGTACTTCTACTATAACTACTGGACTGGCAACCAACAAAGTAAACATAAGCAAAAGCAACAGAAGGAGACAGCAAAGGAGGACACCAGACGCATCATGAAAGGGTTTAAAAACAATAAAAAACACAACAGCACAGAGTGAACATGAGTGATTTAACTCCTTAAAATCCCAGGCTTATTACATAAGACTTATCCAGGCACTTCATCGCAAACAGGCTGAGCTATTCTTATGTTATAGAAGTGTGTAATAAAACCTGGCCATTTAAGGGGTTAAAAGCTGGGACAGAGGTCAGATCATGAAGACTTTAAGGGAGTAAACTCCAAAGTTAAGTAAACTGTGACACTAAGCTACTAAATTGTGTTTGCTCATCTTGTTACGATGATGTACGCTTGCCTTTCTGTTTGCTGTAATGTATTTGCATTTACTGCTGAGGAATTAATATTGGCAAATAAACATTTGACAATAAACGTTTGGGGACCTTTTTTAAATGTTTGATTTTCTTTATTTTTCCATTTTCAATGTTTGTTGTTATTTTAATTAAGAAAAAAAAACTAAAGGCTTTGTTTATATAAAACAGTAATTTGCTAATATTTTGGATATATTTAGCAATCATGTCCATCAAAGTAAAACTAGTACTGTCTCAAATAATGGCATAAATAATGTCACAAATATTTACAAGTGCAATAGTTGTCATTTAGGGCTACAGCAACTAATCAATGTTATTAATAACACTGATAATGGAAAATCAGTGAATCTTGTTATTGATTACTTGTCACTGATGTTAGTGCTCCCCGTTTACATCACTTGAATAAAGAAGGTAGAACACAGGTGATGGAGACTACAGTAGAGGGTTAGACATGACTCAGAAATAAGGGAACACTAACATCTTAAAAATACGAAAAACATTCAAGGTAGAAGGAAGCTTTTGGAAAATGTTCTCCAGAGTGAAGATTTTAAAAACATAATTTTTCTGTGTTTTTATATGGACAGATGTTTTTGCAAAAAGATGACATTGCATGTGTGCTTACTGCAGTTTGATGAGTGGTGAGCATGAGCCCTGAATGTCTGATAAGTTTCACTAGTATTGCTTTGACAAGGAGAAATAATTCAAATAGCAATGCAAAGTTCTTGTTCTCCATAATTGTACTTTGACTGCCATGTAAGATTTTTTTAATGTGTTGTTCCTTTATTGTTTCTGCATCTTTCACACTGAGTAAAATAGCGTTTTTGAGTGCAGAAGACATCTTGTGGCATTGCTGATCTTGATGGAGTGTCTTACGCTTTTGCAAAATGAGGAATAATCCTTGCATTTTTAATTAGTTGAAACACTGTAAGAAATATCTTCTTACTTACAGACAACTGGTCTTAATTATTCTTTTCCAAATTAATCTATTAATTGTTGCTTTGATTAGCTGGGGGATCATCATTAGCTGTTTTTTATAAAAATAAACTTGGTTAATGATTAATATTGTTATGTTACTGTAAACCACAAAAGAAAACATGCTGATTTGTTAAAAAAAAATGTTGAGAAGCTTGGTACACCCAAACTTCTGAGAAGCAGTGTTGTATTGTAATTTGTTGTATAGTGAGTGAGTGTGTTTGTGTATGTGTGTGTGCACGCATGCTCGTCCAACCTCTTTTGCTCGGGGAGGACAGGGCAGTGGTAGTGATGCCAGAGAGCCACAGCAGTATGAGGACACACCAAATACTGATTCTCCTCCCAGCACCTCACCATGGCCTCCATTATACCCTCATCAGACACAGAGCCTGAAGACAACATGGAACACAACTACACAGACAGACAGAGATGAACATCATTGTATACTTTTAAGCCCCAAAGGTCTAAAATAGGACCTTTTTATATGAACTAATGAACTCATAATCAATTAACCTGTAAATGTTAAGAGCTGTAACAATTAAATGTCTGGCAGTGTTCTGGTAAACTGAGGTACTTATAACTCAGTAACCACTGTGTTGCTTTATTTAAGCCTGCCTGTAATTTTGAGCTACAGATTTTTCTGTTACACCTTAAATGGTACGGCAGTCACCTTCTGGCACCCATAATCAGTTAACCTCTTCCGTTTACTCCTCTCATTTATTTACTGTTTTGCTGCTTTGACACTAGCAGGTTTTCTATTTTCGGTGGTTGAAGGAAACATGACACGTCCATGCAAAACAGAATTGCATATGTTGTATGTACTTCTTATTCTTCATTTTAAAGCAGCACTATGTAAGATTTGGGGATTTGGAGGCCTCTCTGGTGGAAATGGGTTATTGCATGCAAGAAGCTGAGGAATGATTTTTAATGTTGGTTGTGCTACAGACCCCTTCCCTGAGCAGATGATTACCAGTAAGTTAAAAGAGTATTCAAAAAGTCAATCAACTCAGTCAAAACTGGTCCACACCTGCAAAATCCAACTCGATGCCTCTGACTTTAAAATGACTATTTCCAGGTACTTCTTTCCATTTTAACAAAACATTACTTATTACTTATGCCAGCCCTACATCAAAAGAGTTCTCAAGCGATTTTACTGTTGCAGACAAATTTCATGAGAGTCTTGCTACAGTTAGTGTCATCTCGATCGTTTAGTGTAAGGTGCTCAGGTTGCCTGTCTAAAGTCACTGCGACAAAATCAACCGTGTTACCCTAATTGTAGTGTCTGGCGTGCAGGTTACTTTTTAAGTTTTGCATAAGAGATCCAATACTAATGTAGATAACAAGTAATGAAAGCTTAAGATTACCAATTACCATCATACAAATTGCAAGCCTAAATCATCAAATAGACTAGTCTATTTTGTATATTGTTTATATTTTTATTATTTTATGACAGACCTCAAAAGTCCTTAATGAAATATCAGGTCTGAAGAGGATATATAACAACACAGACCTGTCTGTGGAGTGTCTCAGGAACAGAAAGCCTGTGAGTCCTTTGAAACTGCTCCATCATGTCCTTTACTAATGCTCCATCTTTCCCCGACAAAAGCCAGAATATACGCTCCATGTTATAAGGGTCCTAAACAAAGGCAAGTCTGTTGGCATACATGAATTACATACAAAAGATCTATTAGTGATCCTACATTGGCCATGAAAGTTAGAGCACCTGAATGTCAATGGCTGGAGCCAAAGTTTGCTGGACGCTCCCTGCCATGGAGAAGTCTCCACTCTGAACTGTGCGGTGCACTATATCATTGGAATTCACCATAGCGACGAGTCGCAAAGGTATCCCCATCTGTTTCATGATGCATCCAGCTACAACGAGGACAACCCAATAATACAAACCCACACAACAGAAGTGAAAAATGAAGAATACAAATCAAACCATTTAAAAAATGCCCAATATTACACTCAAACATGTTAATCACATCTAACTATGTATGCTGATTGAGTCATTAAAGGAATAGTTTGCCAAAAAAAAATCACATTGACACCATTTTTCTCCTTATCCCAAATGTACTCAATCAGTTAAGCCATGTTTTTAGTCTATAGTTTGCTCATTTAATTTTGCATTGGAGCTACAGGCTAATGTAATTAATGAGTAATTAGCAATTAGCATGGGAGATGGAAGAGAGGTCCAGGAATGCACAAATCCCTGGCACTTCATGGTTCAAACCGATACTGGGTGCAACAGTGTGACTATAAAATGGTTCATTTTGCACCTTTATAGCCTACATTGTGATTTTTACCTAAATTTGGCCATCTTCACAGGTAGCGTTAGCTTTTAGTTGAATGTAGCCTATGTGGCATTACGTAGTTACGTTTCACCATCTAATCCCTATTTGGATTGGATTAGTTTATCAAGGAGACATCCGTAAAAAAAAAAATTACACGTCTCCTCAGTAATAAAACTCCAGACGGCAAAATTATTAAAGGAGGTGTGAGTTTTGGACTGTAATTTTCTACAAACTTAGATTTTTGTGTCACACGTGTTGAACATGCTCCATTTACATGAAAAATTGAAGATACTGTGCAGACAGAATGCTTTGATGATATTATGTAGCCTTCAGTCAGCCTCTGAGTTCTCACTTCACTGATACCTTATTTTGTTTCTGCTCCTACTCTCCCAGAGTAGACAGAATTGAGATGTTCTACCACCCAGGCCAAGTTTATGGTTGAAAGGCATCCAAAGCATCCACTGTTTTACGATTTGGAAAATGTTTAATATGGATATGCGCCCAAGAAGAATAAATGTGGCAAGTATTAGTGGTCCAAAAAACTATTTTTCCAATGTGTTAGCTTGTTTTGCACTTGAAATTGTTTTGATCTTGAAAATTCAGGACACTTTTAAATACAGGATACTCCAGTATTACTTTTAAATGTAACCCTGTCCAAACAGGTTTAAACTGAAATTAAACTGCATTATTTGATCTTTGTATGCAATATTTATTTATTTTTTATTTTATTTTTTTTGTAATGCAATTTTTATTTTTCACAAATAATAGCCAGTGGCAATACAATTTTAAAATTAGATTCTGTACACTCAAATAACATTTATAACATCAAAACATGTTTGATGTGTCTTATTTTATTTGTTTTATTTTATTAGTTACCTGGACTAATCATGAATGGACAATGCTATGGTGGCTATGGCCATTTAAAGCTGGCCCATCTGAACACAGGCCTGTGTACCTGTTATGTTGCCTGCGCCTCCTGTGGGCACCACCACCTCCAGATCTGGCAGACAATCTCCCTCAGTCTTCTGTATGTCACTCAGCTGAAGGTAGGCATACAGGAAGTGGGCCAGCTGCACCAGAATCCGCGACCAGTTTACTGAGTTCAAGCTCATCAGACCATGGCGCTTCACCAGGTCCAGATCTGTAAAGAGCTTCCTCAAGGGCACATCAATGTCGTCAGAGCTTCCATCCGCTATCAATTTATTAGAAAGAGAGGTATGTGGAGAAAAGGTGGTTCAGCAATAATCTGGAGTAAGTTCTCCATAAGCATCATAAAGCAAATAATAAAACAGCAAAAACACTTAAAACTTAGACCTAGAATTTATGAGTAACTTGAGAAAAAAAGCTTATTCTGATAAAATGCACTTAGATGCTTAGTGTGGATCTATCTTTTTCCCTTGTTTTAATTAAATGAAAACACAATAATAATAACAATACTCTGATCTGACCTCAGGGGATGTTTGAATTTTGGAACTAATATCAACACATAATAATACCCAGTTAAGCCATCCTGGAAAGAATAAATTCTAGAACAAACAAAGGAAATACATCAGAGAATGTATTTTACATGCGTGCGAACAGAAAATGAGTAACTACAGCTTTGTGCTTTTTGCTCAGGGGTCTTTTCAAAGGAAGCTTTGAAACCCATCAATTTACACTGTGATTTGGAGATGAAACATATCGAATAGGTATCTAAAACTGTCAAACTGAGCAAGAACTTGGTTTGCAGCTTTCCTCTGTTCAGCCTGACAACCTGCACTTAGTAGCTACCAAATTAGATGAGGTAAAAAAAAACAAAAAAAAAACAAAAACAACAACAATTTAAATCTTGGGGCCACGGAAGCTTTTGTGGTCATCTGTGTGGCCAAAAGTTGCAAAGGTTTGGGATAAATGTTTTATTCTGTTTCTTCTGGTTTTGTTGATATTAAATAATATTTCAGCTTTCAATTACCTCAGACTTAGCCTTTGCACTTGGCTAGTCTTAACAACAATTTTCAAGTCCACTTCATCCCAAGACCAAGACGTGACCAAGTTCAAATGAGTCGAGAGTTTATGATCTTGAGATCGGTCTCGAGACCGAGATTAGACTTGAGTACTACAACATTACTGGCACGGAAGATGCAAGTTTGTTTACTTGGTCTCCTTCAAATACTTTTACACTTTAAATGCATTTTGAGCTCCACTAACATTAACTGAAATGAAAAGATAACAAAGGCCACTAACTAAAGCAGTATTAGGCCTCTGTGATAAGTTCTTACACTTCACTGTTCACCTGCAAACACATGAACATTGTCCTCCATGTGGGTGGTCATCTGTCTCTCCTGTACTGTGGTGATGCGGCCACTAGGAAAGACGACCACCACGTCCACTCCGTTCAGTCCACATACACTGCTGATGGCTGAGCTTCCGGTGTCCCCAGACGTCCCTTCATAGAGAATGTAAAAGATCATGAGCAGAGCCCGCAGCTATGAACCAGCCATGCTCAACTTATTATTATAGTCTCCTATCAATTAATCAACTCTGCAACTGGCTGTGATGAACTACGGACTGTAGGGCTGTGCTGACACAGTTTTATGTTATTATTAAGTCTTTATTTGTGCAGCCTGGCTGGCTGGAACTTTCTTTACTTATTTAATGGACCAACAACGTAAATTTTTTATAATTTTTTACTTAAAGCTACACTATGTAAGATTTGGGGATTTGCAGACCTCTCTGGTGGAAACGTGTAATTGCACACAACACTGATTGTGCTTCGGACACCTTCCCAGAGTGGATGAATCTGACATTTGTGAGCAAACTGAAAGTGTTCAAAGAGAACAAACTTGGTGAAGGATGTATCTTTTGAAGATCTAATTGAATGATCTACTATTGTCATCAGATCCTTATCAGTATGATGCTGATTTTTGCGTTTGAGACCTAAACATCGATTCAGACCTTTTTGATCCTTTGTGTGTGATGTTAACACACAAAGACGCACGGCGAAAAACCTTTGTTAAATCTGTCTCAACAGATCTGACATGTAATTCACTATTTCAGGCTTTACAGGATGACCTGCAGCACACACACCATATTTAAGCTTGTTTTTTTTACTCCTGACTCAGTAATGCTATTTCTTTCAATTTTAACAAAAAAACTGTGCATTTATAATGCTTGTGTACAGTGTTTCTATCTGTACCTTTAAAACCTTTGTATATGCACAATCTCTGTTCTGATTGGATGATCCTTTTACAAGTGATTTGAGACACAGCACAATCAAAAAGGAATCCAGAAAGAAGTACACGGAACACAATGTTAAGTTTGAACTGAAATTTTTAAAGATGCTGTGAAAACCCACTTTTTTCAGTGAAGCTTCCATTCCAAAACACTGTACATCAATTTGAAACAATTTTGTAGATAAAGGGTTTTGTAAACAAGTAACAGCTGACTTTATTCGACAACGCATTCTTATTTCTCTTATAAAGGTGGCATTAATCACAATATTGCATTTATATCATGGGAAAAAACACAATTCTAGAAAATGATCTATTGTGTGTTTTGCAACAAAACCTATCAAGTATACAATCCCGACTCATGAAGGGCTTGTTAATTAGCTGATGGATCCTCTGTGTCTGATCAGGAAAAACACTAAAATATGCACAGCAGGATTGCTCCGGGACCGGGAGCTTGTCTCATGAAGCAGGAGTTCTATCTTATTCAGTTAATCTTAAACTTAGTTTGAGACCTTGGAGTGGATCATAGTACATGCAAAAACCAAAAGAAAAGAATGGCAGGGCAGCCACTTTGCCCTGTCCCCCTTTGTAATGTCTGCAAACAGATTTTGAAAAACATTGCTTTCCAACAAAGAAGCAAGGAATCATACTACAGAACTACAGAAGCACTACCATTAATATAGTGGCAGCAGCGACAGTGTTGCATTTTGCTGTTATACTTGTTTTACCTTTTTTTTTTTTGTTCCTCATCTGAAAAATAAGACACTCGACTCCTCCTCATGTTGCACATTATTGGCTGTTTGTTTTAAACATCAGGCTGGCATGGTTATTAATCCTAGAGCATCATATATCTGGGTTAACAGAGAAAGCTGGTAACCGCTGCTGTAAAACAAGGTTTTCGAAGCCACTGAATTAAACATTGATTAACTGTTTTCCTGCCTACCATCTACTCCTATAACTCTGCAGTGACAAGTAAGTCAGTTGCCAGCTGCAGTAACAACTGTAATGGGACAGAACTAGTTAGACGCTTGCGGGTACAATTCACAAGTGAGGCTTTACTGGTTTTAGCA